TCGTGAATAGGTTCCCTAGCAGACGTAGAATTTAATTTCATTGCGTATACGGTTCAACCCATTTTTGAAATTCGGTGCCACTGGAACCTGCCGTCTCAATACTGGACTAAAAAAATTTCAATTCACCAATTCCAGGGTTTTTAAAGGAGCGTCGCTTTTTCGAATTTCTTGACGATATGAATTATTATTTTTGCTAATAAAATAAAGTTTAAAAAAAAGATCCATTCTGGGGACCCGCCTAATTTTAGAACTCTTCTATAGTGTCGTTGCCCTTGGAAGAAATCTGATGATACGGATGAGCAGCTCAGTGTTGGGCGCAAAAGGGGGCTCAAAAGCCAGCTATGTGGCCAGGATCGGAGTGGTCATTTTGTGGAAAATTAGGACGTCGAAAACCATTTTGCCGCAGTCTCAAAACGCTGAAAATTATTATTTTCACAGGCTGCCGATGAGCATACATCGACCAAACGAAATTTAGACAAAACGAAACTTCGGCAAGAGTATTTTCGGCATACTGATGGCAAGAAGGCTGTAATTATGTTCTAAATACCAAGTCCGAAATTTCAACAACAACACCGCAGCGAATGAACCGCGCAACTTTCATTCGTTCATTAATGTAGAGCACAACTTTCCAAACTGGCCCTGTAGCGTCATGAAAGCGAATGTCGTAGGCGGGTTTGCAACGGAAAACTTAGCTGAACCCGTCAGGAAAACCGGTCAAGCAAATATTTGCATAAAGGGTCCGGTAAGGTTGCCTGATAAAAACTTAATAAAAGCGCATTCTGAAGCCAGTTTGTCCTCGATTCAAGTCAGGTTTAATTCGGCATGCCCTGCAATGGCTGCAAAAAAATCCAGAGCAAAAAACATACCTAACACCTCGATGACGTCCAACGCTGTGTCCCGCCTATTGTACACCGACATCTACCGTAGTCAGGGTATCGTAGCGTAGTACAGAGGTTATTAGCTCAAACTCAAAGCCGAAAGCCAAATGAGTCCCTCACCCTGACCACCTCTTAATTCGTGCTCATAACTCATAAGGGCCACCCATGGCGCACCCCCCCCCCCCGTTTTCTGGGGAGTCTTCTCCTTGGTCGTCTCCGACTTTTGGAACATTTATGGGAGCGTGGAATGGTGGTGGAGGGGTGCGTGGAATGGGCCGTCAATAGGGGATGAGTGGAGCGTCTTCAGCCCGTTCCATACTTGCGCCCCCAGGCAGAATTGCCACCGTTTACGAGCTGTCAACAGGGCTTTTGACGCGGGTTTTGGAAGGGGTAGGGTGGCTGAAGTCGTGAGCGGCGAGCCAAATCTAGGAAGTCGTCCGAAGTGCGTATGTTAGGTTCGGCAAGACGCTGCAAGTCGATACCATGGCCAGCAGGCTTTAAAGGAACTGGAACCCCTTGATTCTACACATCTCCGAGATTGGGCATCGACAATGGCGGCAGATCGGCCAAGGAGCGCTACCTACTGCTACCACGAGGAGAATTCAAGTACCAAGCACGGAAATGCCCAAGCTACGTTTCGCCAGACCACTAAGAGGCTTGAAAACTATGCTAGGTCAGCCCCGCTGCGAGCAATACACCGTATTTTGCCATGTAAGGTAGCTCTCGAGCTCATGTCGGGTTTTGGGGTAAAATATTTGCGTTTTCTAGCTGAACACGTCGCGAAATCGGTTTTAGCAACGAAAATTGGTCGCTGTAGATCCGAAGCTTCGAGGAGCAATTATGGCAAAACTTAAACGGGCATACTTTGGACTCAAAATCGCCGCTAAAAGGGCAAAACTCACTCTCAAGTTAAACTCAAGTAGTTAAGTGTAAATGTAAAAGTTAAATGATCAGTTGATAATTTCTGCGAGTACTGCTTTAGTTACACGGTTTTTAAAATAGATAATTCTCTTCTCGGTTCGTTATTTTTGTCACGGTTTCGGTAAAATACGCAGCAGGTTAATCGTACCACTTTTCGGATTTTTTTGAGTTTTATGAATGCTCAAAGCGGTCGTTGTCTCCAATTATTCTGTTGCAAATATTACATTAAAGCGTCTATTTAATAACCTCATCTTTTGGTAAGAATCGTACAAAAAATAATATCTCTTTAATCTCACAAACATATTGCCCCTGGTCAACTTACTGGGTACGGTAGACAGCTGCCTGGTGAGGGTCGCCACGATGAAATTCAGAAGTTCAGCTCCAATTTAGTGGAGACCAAAAAATCCCAGAGCTCGAATTTTGACCCGATGATTTGTGAGCCGAGGTGTTGAGGGATGCAGGAGTATATTTCGCACCCGGTGTGTCTCTGAGTGGACGTTTGGACAAGACAAGACAACATACCCAGCAGACATGTGGGTATTTATGGGCCCTTTTACAATTTCGGAGCATTTCAGACACGGGGGCGAACAACTCGACCTAGAGAGAGAGGGAGTGAGAGAGAGAGAGAGAGCGAGAGAGAGACAGAGGGAGCAATGCTTGCTTCTTCTCATACTTCCCAAAATCCTTCCGCTTCTGGGGTCCAGCACTTGGTGCGATAATATCTGGGGTGTCCGAAATTGGTCTCGGCTACTACACTGCTTCTTCTGCTTATACGGGGCATAATTGGGGGACTGGTCAGTTGGAAAAGAGAAAGAGAGATAGAGAGAGAGAGAGAGAGAGAGAGAGAGAGAAAGAGACAGAGAGAGGGACAGAGAGAAAGCGCGCGAGAGAAAGAGAAAGTGATACAGACATCGGGAGAGATAGATTGAGGACGGGCGCGAGTAGGAGCACAAGAGAGTGAGGGAGTGGGACGAGAGCGAGGGAGAGCGACGAAAAGAGACAGAGAAAGGGAAAGAGAGAGAGAGAGAGAATGCGAGCGAGATCCGATGTTGCTTCAGTACGTAAAATCACTTGAACAAATTTTTATCAAATTCTACACGTAATGACGACTTCAAAAATTATCACAAATGTAGCGTATTGTACATTCGGTAAAAAAGAGGCAATAAATATGCGGGAGTAAGTCTCGTTCATATCAAGAAAATTCCCTCGGACAGCTGGACCATTTTGTTGCGCTTCAGGAACGATTCAAGCCAACCGTTGCTGGCCTGAAAAAGTGGGTTGGTTAAGAAGTTTCGAACGTATTTTGGGCAATTCTACCTTTCATTACGAATTCATACCTTAAAGCTCGGATCAGTCGACATTTTGATGGCCTGCTTCTGTAGCAGCGATCGGCTAACGGCCTGGCCAGAAGCGCGCCGTTCGCAGATCCACGTCACCAGGTCGTTCTCCAGCTTGTCGTCGCGTACTCGGCGACCGGCACCGAGGAGTCGCTTTCGTTTCGCTTGGTCATCTCTGGAAATCGAAACATCATAAAATTTTGAATTCAAAAACCAGGAAAAACGCGAGTCAAATGAACTCACTATACTTCGCCAACCACCCCGGGTGGTACCACCCCTAGGGGTGGTTGGAGGTGGGCGGGGTGGTTGGGGGTGGTCGTGGGGGGGTGGTCGTGGGGGTGGTTGGGGTAGTCGTGGGGGTGGTCAGAGGGTGGTTGGGGTGGTTGGGGGGTTCGTACCACCCCCCCTCCTTTACAAATTTTTCATGATTTGGCAATAAAGCTTGTTCGAGTCAGATATGTCCCTCAAAGACATGTAGCCGGAAGACCAAAAGTTTTATTGCCAGATCAGAAAATTTGTAGGGGGTGGGGTGGCTATGCCTTGACCCCCCAACCTCCCAACCACCCACCACCCCCAACCACCCCGACCACCCCCCCCCCCGCCCCCCCCACCCCCCCCCCCACCCCTGGGGTGGTCCACCCGGTGGTTGGCGAAGTTGCTCCTTCAAATTCGTATTGCAACACCTCGCGCTGCCGGATCCACGTTTGTATGTTCTTCCTAGCTACGTCGTACTTCCGCGACGCCGAGTGGATGCTGTTCGCCTTGGCGAAGGCGGCCACCTCGAGCTTAAACCCGACGTCGTAGGAGCGGCGGGGCGGATGTTCGACTGGAGGGGCGGGCTCGGCGATACAAGCCTTTTTGCCGGTGAGGCCTTCAAGGTAGAGGGCCATCAACTCTTGTAGCGTCTTCCCGGTGAAGTGTTCGGCCTGAAAATCGGGATACTTTTAAAAGTTAAAGTCCAAAGGCGGGCGAGAGAGAAAAGTGAGAGAGGGGGAGAGAGAGAGCAAGAGGGAGCCAGAGAGAACCGCGAGAGAAAGAAAGAGAGAGAGAGAGAGAGAGAGAGAGCGAGAGAGCGCGAGAGAGAAAGAAAAAGAAGAGAAAGAAAAAAGAGAGAAACGGACCAGTTCACCACTGGAACACGGTTGGTTGAAATCTTCCGATGCATCCGCCAAAGGAAACAGCTCAACGTCCGGCTAAAAAGAATTAACAGTTTTTTAAATAGATTTTTTCATTCAGATTTTGCGTAATTTCACGCAGTTCTACTGTATAGAATTGAGAAAGCTATCCAGAACCTCCTGCGCACCTTAAATTCTGGTAGCTGATCATCTCGAACGTCGGGCAGCTCCATCTTGATCTGGTCGTTCAAAGCGCTTGATGAAGCGGAAGTGCCAGGCGAATCGAAATTCGGGAACATCCTGAAGAACAGTTTTTTCAAAGCTTAAAATTAGACAAAAAAACGCAAAAACTTCGTCCATCCATCCTCAATTTCTCAAGTAAAAGTCCGGCTTAAAACCAGAAAAAAATATGGCTGATTCGCATCGTAATAAGATTTATTCAATACATAAAATGAATAAAGTAAGAAATGTTCTGTTCAGAAAACACGTTCTGTACAAAGGCAAGGAGATTTCCCGTGAGGTCATCGGCATAGAATCAATTAATTATCGGTTCGGGATCTGGCGTATATACTTGAACATGGCATTCTGGAAGTTGGCGCCCTCGTTTTTGCGGACCACAAATTCCGACAGCCACTCCTCGACGTCATGTGCCGTACTGGTGTCGTCGGAGGGTTGACCGAGTTTTTCGCGGAATTGCTGGATCGCGCTCTTGCCACCGTCAGTGAAGCGGATCCTGGAAAATCGGGTTACTGTCGATTTTGTTTATTATGAGAATTTCGAAATTCAGAATGTCCAAAATGTCATCCTGTCGGCATTTGTAAGACTGCCAAAATTTTTTGCATGGCATTTGGAGGCCTTTCCGACGCGAATTTTTTCCTATGTATCCAGAATTTCCCAATCGCGTAATTTTCTTACTTTTACTAGTTTTAGTCAGGATTTAACTAGATTTCAATTACAAATAATCGAGAAAAACCTAGGAAAAATTTCTTCGTGAAAATACTAATCGAAAATCGGCCTTTCTTGCTCGAAAAATCTTTGTTTTTTAGAAATTTCCAGAAAATTTCCTAAAATCCATATCCGACAAAATTCATAAACCGGGTGGTATGTTTTCCAGAAGCTCACCTCAACTCCTGCTCGTTCACCGGGATGTACTTGGAGAACAGACTTTGCCGACTTCGTATTGCTAAAATTTGCTTTGAAGAAATGTAGATGATCTGATACCGGCTCGTTGAAGATATTCGTGCGAATGATGGAGTCCGGCTCAATATTATCGGAAAGTGCCTTCAGCAAATCGCTCGAGTTGGTCACCACTTTTCCAAATGACTTGTTGGAGTTCAAGTCGCAGCCTAGAAAAAGTGGGGTTTGCAGTATCTCTCTCGCTCTCTCTCTCTCTCTTTCTATCGCTCTCTCCCCCTCGCTCCCTCTTTCTCTCTCGCGCTCCCACTCTCTCCCACCCTATCGTTCTCACTATCTCCGTCTATCTCACCTGCAACGATCGTCAACGTCTGATTGCTCGTTCCATGAGGCGAAAGATCCCTATGCTGAACATCTATCGTCCCGACTTCAACAAGTGCGCCATTGCCGCCAAGTCGCGGATATCCGTAAGTAATTCTAAAATAATTTATTCAAAAATATCTCGTACCCATACCTCGTACAAACCGATCTGAACTCGGCCCTCTGCTCGTGCAGACATTTGAGCGACAACTCGATCTCCTTCGAGATGGCTGACGGTTTTTGGCTAAAAAAATGCTATACAGCTTCTAGAAATCGATTCTTACGTATGAATCCACATCAACAGATGGGCGAACTTCTTGCGGATGCCCGCCCGAGCATCTTCGAAGAAGGAGTCTCGTTTGATGGAGCGGGAGGCGCAGTCACCACCGCCAGGTCGACGGCATCGCCACTGAATTGAAGACTGATGGACTTCGGGAGACGATGGGGCAGGTTTGGGTGTACCGTATACTCTGCCATACCCCAAGGGGGTATACCCCCCATGGGGGTATAAAAGGGGTACGAGGTGGGGGTACAGCGGGGGTACGGGGTGGGGGTACAAAGGGGGTACCCCCACCCCTACCCCACCCCCTACCCCACCCCCTACCCCTCCCCCCTCCTCCCCCAGCAACCCAACAGATTTTTTCCAGTGACCCTCCCACCTCCCACATATCGGTGGCTCGCAAAAAATTCAAGAAGGAATGACGAAGTCAGCCGGAATTTCACCAAGGCAGTTAATAAAATCAGAAACTTGAACTAAACATTTTTAAAATTTTTGTGATTTTTTCCACTCAAAACATGTCTGAATTTTACTAAAAACATTATTGAAACTCTTACTATAACGTTACCAGGGGTTTCTGGGTTTATTTCAAAAAGATTGGTCCGTCGATAAACTTTCAACTTAAAAAATATTTAGTTCAAATTTGGTATTTTATTAACTGCCTTGATACAATTCCAGCTGACTTCGTCATTTCTTGTTGTATTTTTGCGATCCACCGACATGTGGTATGTGTGGGAGGTCGCTAGAGAAAAATTTGCTGGGCTGCTGGGGTACCCCATTTGTACCCCCACCCCGTACCCCCTTTGTACCCCCACCTCTTACCCCTTTTGTACCCCCATGGGGGGTATACCCCCTGGGGGTATGGCAGAGTATAGTGTACCGGTAGATAAGTGCTCATGCTTACGGGGCCTTTCCGGCTCCTTTAACCCTAAGCACCAACCTCGAAAGCTGCTCCCCTCGCTCGCAACTTCATGATCCTCCCACACTTCGGGCACAGCGGATCGCTCCTGAGCATCTGCTCTCGGAACAGCAACTTCACACAGCTCCACTCGTCGGGCACCAACTGCTTGAAGTCCTCCCACGTGTTGATTTGGCTCAGCCAGACTAAAAAAACAAGGTATTGCTCAAAAAGCGTATTCCAACCTCCACCGTCCTCCGCCGGCCACAACTCGTTGTCATCGTACTTCCGTTTCCGGTCCGGTTTATTCTGCCCGAACGTGTTCAAGTCGAAGCCATTGGCGGGGGCGCGGTTTAGGGAGACGGTCGGCTTGATGGGGATCGTTTTGACGGCTTTCCCGAATGTTTCTGAAAAAGACGTTGTACCGATCCTTATACTGTAACTGCAGCTATTTAGTCATCTCTATAGATTTAGATTATATCTATATAATCTAAATCTATATCTATAAATCTAAAATCTCTAAGATTATAGATTAGCAAGTCATCTCTATAGATGCCTGGCAATGGAATCATGGATTAATAGTAAGCCGCGCCCGCGACACGCAACGCGCGGTTTCGCCGGTATGAAAGGTTGCGTAATGCCGTGCGTGCTGCGGGACGGCGCCTTGTCGCGCGCAACGCCTAATCCATACGAAATCCAGATCGAAAAGCCGTAGCTTTACCTCATCCATCGCTTGGAAAAGCCCAAAACAACTAACCGCTGTAAGACGGGTGGTAGTCGATCTCCAATCTAGGCGCCGGGCGTGGCATGTAGTGCAGAGCGGATGCGGGCTAAAAATCGTCGAAATTATTTTGTTTCAAGGTAGAATAAATCAGAATGGTCTCGAAACTCACACTCATCAGCATCGGGTTGAATTTCTGCTCGTCACCAGCAAAATACATGGACGTAGATGGACCGCCAAAAAGCCGTAGCCGAAAGGTTGGTGTTCATGATCGGGACGACGGCATCTTTCTGAAAAAATAAGTTTATGAAGACGTGTAAATCAGCTAGATAAATGCCGTACCTCTTTTAATCTATTTTATTTTAACTTTTTTTTCTAACAAGGGAAGTGCACGAACTTAAGGTGGCCTTTCTTTTTCAAAATAAGTGGGTCTGATAGAGTCGAACACGGGGATTCCGAATCTGTAATCAGAATCTGCTAAATGAAACGGAGAAAAAAGTTATGAGGCTTTAAAGTTGGCAAAATCGACAAAAACGGTACCTTTAGCGGCCTGTAAAAGGCGCGGAAGCGGAATTGAGCAAAAAACCAATTGGTGCATCTTGTTCAGCAGAAAAAGCTCTTTCGAATGAGCTATCATTCAAAAAGTATACGATGATTTCGCGGAAATCTCTTCGATGACTTCCACAGGCTCTACCCTTACCTGTGAATTAAAAAGAAGCTTTTTGAAAAATTATCTGTAATTGCTACATATTAAGGCTCATTCGAAAGAGCTTTTTCTGCTGAACAAGATGCATCAATTGGTGGTTTTGCTCAATTCCGCTTCCGCGCCTTTTGCAGGCCGCTAAAGGTACCGTTTTTGTCGATTTTGCCAACTTTGAAGCCTCATAACTTTTTCTCCGTTTCATTTAGCAGATTCTGATTACAGATTCGGAATCCCGTGTTTGACTCTATCAGACCCACTTATTTTGAAAAAGAAAGGCCACCTTAAGTTCGTGCACTTCCCTTGTAAGTTGAAAATTCGCGCCCAAAATTGCTGAAACTTTCCGAAAATCCGGATCATTTCCATTTCCCCCTTACTCCTTAAAATGCTAAACCACTAAACCTAAAAAAACCTGCGCTATTAACACAAAAATAGACCAATTTTCACGACATTTCAATGCCGTATGATAACAATGCCTTAAAATTAATGTCGATATACCTTTTTACACTACAAATTTAGTAATGCGTTTATATAGCCGTAAAATTCCACTAAAATCGTATATTCCTGATTCTTAAAATTTCTAAATGGGAAGGGGGGAAGAGGGCTTATTACCCCTTTTAGCCGCAGAGGAGGACACCCTCCCCATAGCCACCCCCCAGCCGCCAAAACCATCGATTTTTCTCTCGTTTCCATTGCGTTTCTACACACACTAATGGGCAAAAAACCAGGGCTTTTGTATCTATTAACGCCCAATAAGCACTTCAAACACCTACCGTATCGGACTTCTTTTTCTTCTTCGACGGGCTGGTGGCGTTGCCATATTGAGCTGTGGCCGAGAGAAGGTCGTGGAGGTTGAGGCTGTCTTGCATAAAGTCCGTGTCCATTTCAGGTCTAGAAAGTTAAATATGGCTTATACTATCGTATTACAAACCAAGAAATTTGAAAAGGCAGCAAAAACCCTTAAAATTGCGCTTTAAAGGTCGGTAGGAGAAGTAAGCTCTTCCGTTACCCTGGACCTAGAAGGACGAAAAAGGCCGATTACGCTAGGTAAACGCAACCGTCTTGTCTTAAAATTTAGAGATTGAAAACTAAACTCCTGGGAATTGCTGATACCAAATAAAATCCACTAGAAACTCCGCCGAAAACGGGCCAAAACGACACAACTGACAAGGGAAGTGCACGACCGGCCCACGAGAAATCGACACGAGACATAGTGGATCTGATAGAATCGGACACGGGGATTCCGAATCTGTAATCAGAATTTGCTAAATAAAACGGAGAAAAAAGTTATGAAGCATCAAAGTTGGCCAAATCGCCAAAAACGGTACCTTTAAGGGCCCGTAAAAACCGGGGGAACGGAATTGAGGAGAAAAGAATTAGTGCATCTTGTTCAGCAGAAAAAGCGCTTTCGAATGAGCTGTAATACGTAGCATTTGCAAACAATTCACTGAAAAAAGTTTTTTTGGATTCACGGGCAAGGGTATGGCCTGTCAAGTTCATAGAAGAGATTTTCGCGAAATCATCGTAAACTTGAAGTAAGATAGCTCATTCGAAAGCGCTTTTTCTGCTGAACAAGATGTGCACTAATGGGTTGCGGCAAATTTCCATTCCCTCGGCCTTTACAGGCCCATAAAAGTCCAATTTTAAGGATTTTATCAACTTTGAAGCTTCATAACTTTTTCTCCGTTTTATTTAGCAAATTGTGATTACAGATCTGAATCCCCGTGTCTGATCTCTATCAGATCCACTATGTCTCTCGTGTCGATTTCCTCGTGGGCTGGTCATGCACTTCCCTTTGTGAGCCTGGGAAAAGAGAACCGATTACGCCAAGAGATTCTTTAAAGAGGTTTCGCCCCTCTAAAATTTGCGGTTAAACTCCATGAAGAAGATGGTAAAACAGGGAAGTAAGAATCCAAACAATCCTGAACAAATTTTTTAGAAAGAGTAACCCACCAGGCAGTGTGTTGGCCTGCTGGGTGGGGGAATGGGGGAAGGGAGGGGGTGTTTGGCTGGGGGTCGCGCCCACTGAGGGAATAGAAAAGAGAGAGAGAGAGAGAGAGAGAGAGAGAGAGAGAGAGAGAGAAAGGAGGGCATAGAAGGGAAAAAGAGGGAAAGAGAAGGAGATAGAGGGGGTGTCCCTGTGTGTGGGGGGGTTGGGAAGGGGGAGGGTGATCTCTTCCTTCCTCCCCTCTCCACAACCTGAATTCATTTTTACAAAGAGGGTAGGGGAGGGGGAGGAAGAGAGAATTTTCAGCTGGTGAGGCACAATATTTAAATCTTCTTAGTGATATCTCAAAAAAAAATCGGAGGATACTGTAGTAAGGAATAAAATGCCCAAAATATGGAATGCGCCAAAATCCAAAAAGAATTTTGGCACAGTAATGCAAGGTAACGATTAATTTAATTTCTAGCGGATTTACAATGCTGAATACGGTAGAGAAGCCAGAAAGGTTTGTTTAGAAAATCAGGGATTACGGTCGCCCTGGGAGACGGTGAGTGAAAAGCCAGAGAATACCCAAAAAAGCGCATTTCCCAATTTTCTAGGAACTTTAAACATTTTAAAGAGCCGTAGAAGGCAGCCAGCTTAAATTCCCTTTGATAATCCATTAAAGGCAGGCCTTTTGAGGCCCTTAAACGGTTGAGGGTGATCCGGTTATCTCTTTCTCTCTCTCTCCTCACTTCTCCCTCTCTCTCTCTTTATCTTTTATACGTATTCCCAAGCAAAAAAAGAGAATCAAGAGACTGACGAGAAAATCTCGAACCTGCTGGCTTCAAACTCGAGCCCTAAGAGAATGAACCTATAGCCAATAGTCATGCTAGCAGAGGACCACATTTGAACTTTCAGGTCTGGTATCGGGGCCATAAATTGGCGGGATTTAGCGATGCCCCCCAATGGGTGGATCGAAGCCTTCAACGGGTCTCCCGCCAACCCCCAAAATGAAAGAAGTGGGGAGGGTGAAAGAGAGCGGAAGAGAGAAGAAGAGAGAAGGAAAGTGGGTGGGCGGGGAGGGAGGGTGTACCCCTCCCTCGACAACAATCATTCACCAACACTGCCCAATTCCCTTGCCAAGGGGGGGGAAAATGGGGGAATCGATTGACATAGAAGACTCCGCTGGGGGGGAGAGTGGAATAAGCCGATCGATCGATCAGCGCCGGTACAAATACAAGCTCTGAGTTCGATAAAAGATTTAAAAAAAGTCTTATAAAAAAGTATAAAATTTTAAAATGGGTTCAAATCGGACGCTATACCGATATAAGGTAAACTAAAAAATACGAGGATCGAATCGAATGGACGACCAATTGGTCGAAAAACCATGAGCTCCGCCTTGTTGGTCAAGCGTTCTCCAGGACGAAATATAATTAAAATTCGTCTGAAAATAGGTTTCTAAAGGCTCTAGAATCAAGGCCTTCTGAAGCGGCACTGTAACAGCATGCCGATGCGGGTGATAAGTCCACTACATTAAAAATTCACCATGCCTTTTACGCTTACTTCCAAAAAGGCATTGTAACGGCTGGTTGTTAGGGAAAAACGACGCATACCAAAATAGCAAAAATAATTTATAGCTGAGGTCAGCTAATTCCTTACAATCTGTCGCTTGGGTATCTGCCCGCCTAGCTGACCTTTCATCCCAGATGGTGGGTTCCGCGCCGATTGTTTATGCAAATGCCACACTAAAGGTATGGCTGATTAGAGAAAACTCAGTCGCGGTACCCCGCCGGATCGCTAGCAACAAAGACAAGCTAATTTCAATCTCGGCCAGCAAGGGGACTATTCGGAATTTACGAAAAGAGAGGAGCACACAGAATCTATCAAAATACACCCGCAAAAATGCAAGACCTTGCGATCGTAAATAGCAAAAGCTTATTTTCCTCTTTATTCGCGCACCACCAAAAAAACACAAACAACGGTGAAACTGTAACAAATCCACTGATCAGGGAAATACAACAAGACAGTGTCACCGAAAACGGGGGAAAGGCTCGAAAAGACACGAAGACTATCACAAAAACAGCAAAATCGGAAAAATTCATTATTTCTTGACAATCTGCACGACGTCCTCGTGGTCCAGGAGGTGCTTGATGCCGACCCGTTGTGGCGAAAATTTCGGTGACGTGCCCCAGACGATTGCGTACCTAGAAAAAAAAATGGTAAATGAAATAGTTATAATTCCAATCAAAAGAAATTTAAGAAGATTTAGAATTCATACGCAAGAAATTTTTTACTGTTTTTTTTTGAGTTTTCGATGCATAAAATTACAAAAACTCCCGTATAACATCTTCAAAATCCGGCCTTTTTGATCATTTTGCAAAAATAGCGAAACGTCAGTGGTTTTTGAGGTTTCTACCTCTTTATCCCAGGTGGGGTTAAATGCAGAAAGCTCGTCAATGCTGGATACATGGCCAAAATTAAACTACATCGCCGCCAAAAATCCTTTAAAAAATGTCTTGCTTCTCCGCTAACACGAAAATACCCGAAAAAGAACAAG